AACTGAGTTGAAGTCTCCCCTTCGCGATTTCATCCTTGACGAAGAAGTACCGAGGGCGATGTGCTTGGTTCGGTTGGCGAAGCCATCCTTGTTTGCGATTTTGATCGCAGATTGGTTGTCGCAGAGGAGTGAGAAGGCGGGAGGGTCGCGATCTTCGCTTCCTCGAGTAACTCTCGTAGGTAGAGTCCTTCCTTGGTCGCAGTACAAAGGGCGATATACTCTGCTTCAGCCGAGGATAGTGCGATTAACTCCTGCTTGCTCGACTGCCAGGAGATAGTTCCGATGGGTTCTAGTCGGTAGATGTAGCCCGTCCTGATCGTCGATTTTCCTTATCTCCCGCGTGGTCGGCGTCGACGTATCCGAGTAGTTCGTACGGACGGTGTGGTTACCTTGCTGTAGGTAAGTCCGGTCGTTGGCGTGGAGACGAAGTAGAGTAGTGCCCGGTTGAGCTCCTCGAGATCTTCTTGTTCCGGCTGCTTCAGATGCGTCGCCAGTTGGCTCGCACTGTAGGACAGTCGGGTCGGCAGGTTACTGCTGCGAATAGTAGGCAGCCGAGTTTCTGTTGATACTCCTGGATTTGCTTCGCGGGGAGTTTTGCGGAGGCGCTGTTGTTGTTCCGTAGCGGTAGGGAGTTGGGATCGTAGTCGGTGTTAGACCGAATTTCTTCGCGACAGTGCCTGCGTACTTTCCAGCGTGTAGGTAGAATGCCTGAGTTGTCTTCGACGACATTTCAGTCCCAGGTACTCGGTCACTGCGTCGGATACCGTGATCGTCAAGTCTTCCTTTCAGCTCCCCTTCGAACCAGGTGCGATGTCGGTAGTGAGCCGATGTAGAGCAGGTCGTCGACGTAGACGATGAGTAGGAATACTTCTTCCCTTCTGCAGTCGGTACATGCCTTGGTCATGCGGCAGCTGTAGAATCCGATTTTTGCGAGCGGCCGTGAAGGATGCTGCTGCAGAGCCGCGGGGCTTGCTTGATCCCGTATAGGGATTTTTCAGCTGGCATACTTTCGTGGGGTCGTCGATGAATCCGTGGGGTTGTTCGACGAAGATCTCAGCGTCCACAGGTGCGTACATGAAAGCATTTGCGACGTCGATTTGGCCGTAGTGGTAGTTTCTTCGTGCCGCGACGGCGAGTAGGATGCGCAATGAGGTGTGACGGGAGACTGGGCGAAGGTTTCTGTGTAGTCGGTTCCGTATCGTTGATCGAAGCCTCGTACGACCCATCGAGCTTTGAATCGTTGATGGAACCGTCGGTTGGTCTTGATGCGGTACACCCATTTCCCGAGAGGACATTCTTCCCGTTGATGCTTGTTGCAGGTACCAGTTTCCATGTATTTCCGGTCTTGCAGAGCTTTTAACTCTTTTCCATCGCTTCCTCCATTTCGCCTTATGTTCCCCCCAGAGCCTGCGACAGAGTCGAGGGCTCGCGCGGAAAGGCGGCGGCGGATGCTGGACGGAGACCCATAGGCCTAGATCTGCAGTCCCGTGGGTGTGTGTCGAGGGGAATTTTCATTCCCGGAATAAGCTGCTTCGTCACCGTCTTCTGGATCAGGTAAGAAGTTGGGGCCGATGCGTTCTGAAACATTTGTGTCGACGGGTGGGTGTAATGTAACCTTGGTCAGCGAAGTGGTAAAAGGTGTCGAGGTTGTTGCTATCGAGGGGATTGTCTTCGTCGAGTGGAACAGGTACGGAACAGAAGGGAGTGGTCCGGCAGCTTCCGAGGCTCCAGGTACGTCTTCTTCTGCTGCGTCAGCTCGGCAGCACGGTCGGCGAAGGAGCGAAGCCCGCGAAGCCGTCGGTGGGGTCTTGTGTTGGCAATGTTGTCCAGGTAATGCTGCAGCGTCAGTCGCTCGTAGAAGATAACTCACGTGATGCCACGTATTTTTGTCTTGTATGTCGAGATTTTCCAGCGTGAAAATGTTTGCGATGCCGAGGTGTAGTCCCCACCGAGCTCGTTGAGTGAAGCGTCCTGCTCGGCTGTGTGAGGTCTGTACTGTACCATGCAGCCGAAAACTCGAAGTAATTTTGTGCTGCCCCTTTTTCGTGTCCACAGCAGGTGCGGTGATGCGTTGTTGGGGAAGTGATGACGAGGACAACAGGTTGTGCAGGTGGACTGCATGTGTCATCGCGTCTGGCCACAGTGTGTGGGCAGTCTCATCCCCAGGAGCAGCTTTCGCATCGTCGTCTGCAAGGTCCGGTTCATGCGTTCTGCGACCCCCTGCTGTTGGTGAGCGTAGGGCAGGGACACCAGGCGTCTGATTCCTCTTTCCGCCAGATAGGTCCTGAAGCGTTGTGACTGGTATTCTAGTGCACCGTCTGACTGGAAGCTCTTGAGCTTGATTCCTGATTCCCGTTCGGCGATGGGAGCCATGTGTGAAGGCGTCGAAGGCTTGATCGCGCGTCTTGAGGTTGTAGTGCCAGACGTATCTTGTTGCTGCGTCGATGAACGTGATGACGTAGTTGAAGTCGGCTTTCGTGTCGTCTCGAGGCATGTTTAAAATGTCGCTGTAGACTTTTTCCATCGGTGCGTATGCAGGTGCGCTTGGTTGTGATGGATGGAAAGGTTGGTGAGGAAGATCGGCTTCGGGGCACGTGAAACACCGTGCGCGTGGTCGTCGAAGTTCTGGCCGCTCGTTGTTAGGAGGGCGTTGCGTTCTAACACTTCGGCTTGGATTGTTTGTAGTATTGTACTATTTGCAGGGTGCCGAGCGTTGGTGCCAGATGTCGTCGGGAGCGCGATGCCGGGCGAGCGGTGGTATATGTCGGCGTTGGAGAAGAACGCGACGACTGTGGCGGGACTTCGACAACTTCTCGTGTGATGGGCATAAGTTGATCTGCTTCGGTTGGCGGTCCTCGGATCGCTGGTGGTGGTACTCGGCTGGGTCCTGCTGCGCTACTGCAGGTGATGGTTGGAGGACACTTGCGGTACTTGTCTTTCTTGTCTGATAACTGCTAAATGCTCGTGTTCTCTCTGCTGCAGGTATGGTGTTGGAGTGCCAGAAGCCGTCATGTCGAAGTCGGGATCAAGATCCGGCGGGTGTGTCCAGGCGGCGAACGATACGATACCGTCGCTGTCGGCAGTACCGCGGTCGGGACGAAGTCCAACACGAAGACGCCGGACTTCAGGAGGGCACGACCGATGAAGAGGCCGCCCTTCCGTGGTAAAGGCGAAACTCGTTGGAGTAGGAGTCGCACTCCAGGTGAATCCCCTTGGCCATTAGTTGGCTTACGCTTAGTAGGTTGTATCCCAAGTTGTCGACGATGAGACTTTGTTGAGCTGAAGTATACGTTTGTCTCCATGATTGTAACTGAACCACGCCTTGTCTGTTTGTCTTCAGGTTTTCGTTGTTGGCGACGGTGATGACGACGTCGCGGTTGAGGCGTTTCTCCTGTTGCACGAAGCGTCCGAGGAGCACATGTGTTGACCGCAGCAGCTGTCCAAGAACCAGGTGTTTCGCCCGGTGGGTTCGGCGTTGGCGACCGCAGCGTATGTCGGATTGACTTGAAGTCCTTGCGAGCGCGGTGGCGGGAGCTCTTCTTCGTCTGGCGCGTAAGTGGGTGGTGATCCGGGTGCGCAGTTGTCGATGTGTACCATGCAATTGATAATGTTTGGTGTTCTGTTGTGCAGATGTTGAAAGCGCCTTGGGGACTTGCTTGAGTGGAAGCGACTTGTGGGTCTGCTGGACGGTAAACGCGAGGGCGGTTGCAGTTGACCTTGGAGTGCCCGGAAGTCTGACAGTTGTGGCAGAACGGCGGCACGAAGGTAGTCCCTCTGTTGTCGCGTTCTTGCTTGCCGCGTCGATTGTAGTTGTTGTCGTTTCTTCGTTGAGTGTAGAAGACTAACTGCTGTGCTTTCTTGGTTGTCTTTCTCGAACAGGTCCATCTCCTGTTGTTCAGCGTGAAGCTCGGCGCAGAGGTGCATCTCCGAATTCTTCCGTGGGCGCGAAGAAGTGATCGTGTGGTTCTCCATTCTGGCCCGAGCCCGGCGAGGACAAGTGTCACGAAGCTTTCTTCAGTGATGTTCCTCCGCACCGAAGCAGGCGGTCGCGGAGGGTCTGGCAGCGACTCATATACTGCATCGCCTTTTCCCCGTCTTCATCTGTATTGTTGTCAGTGTTGCATGAGTCTGCTTTGTGTCACGCTGTCGTTTGCTTGATAAAGGCACTTGAGATGATGCCATGCGAGTTCCGCGGAGTTCCATAACTCCGATATGTTCTGATGCTCTGCTGTCTTGTGGTGACAGGTTCTCAGGAGTACCGTATACGCCAGCAGCGACTGATACGTGAAGATTCTCTTGTTCCTTCCCAGTGCCGTTGCTTGGGAATGGCAGGGACCCGTTGAAGTATCCCAGAAGATGCGCGGCCTCCATCAGCAGCTCGAACTCGAAGCTCCAGGTAAAGAAGTCGTGTCCGTTGAACGGTGAGGATGTCTGAAGTTTAATACGTGTGAGAATTGGCCTGAAGACTTAGATTTCGTTGGTGTTTGTTGTGATGCAGCTGCTGTTGGTGGGCACGGGGCGGCATGAACTCGAACGTCCCGGTGAAGAATGATAAGGCGCAAAGGTAGGCGCTTGATTGTGTCGCCCGAAGGATGAGTTGTCGAGGCTCATCGGCGCTAATCCCATATTCCTCCATTGCTCTGTGTTGATGCGCAGGTGTCCTTGTCTGCTGCTGCTGGTCGAAGTGTGACATGAAGCTGAAGAATCTTTCCATAAGGTTGGGTCCACACTTGAAGAGGGAGACGGAGTCACCATCTCGGTACTCTTCCCGTTGTTTCTTGAGCAGTCCCGGTCTCTGTCTGCAGTCCTGAGGTGTGCAGACCAGAGTTGCCGTGTTGAGTTTCTTGGCGCTGGGTGAGCCCGTAGAGACTTTCTTGCCCTTGCTGTCCATGTCTTGTAATCAATGAAGTCGTTGAATTGAGTTGAGTTGCAGGTTGTGATAGAGACGTAGTTGCTGGGAGTTTGGTCTCTGACCAGCTCTCATACATGTTGGGCTGAAAAAGCCCTTAGGATCTTTTGCAGAGACTAAGTCCCAGCTTGTAGAGACTTGAGACTTGGAGTAGTGCAGCGGAAGTTGAGGCAGTTGAACCCTTGTACTAGTATGTGAGAACAAGTGATTGATTAAGGAAACAAGCATACAGCAATATATAGAAGATAGAAGAAAGCAGTTGTAGAGTACAGTTACAGGAACGGTTTATCGAGTCGCACAGCGACTCGATTGCACTTCGGTTACCATCCGTGAGCTGTAACGGTCAGTCGCAACCTCCAGTTGCGACCTTTCGCATTCTTTGTCCGCCCCTCGTGTAACCTCCGTTGACTCGCGTACCCCTTGTAGTCTTCCTCGAGTGTAAGTGTTACACTTCAGAAACGCTTAAGTTCTTTGAGATATTTCCAACACTCCCCTTCGTTTCTGGAGTGCTGACTGTTCAGATCCGGTGACGTTTGTCTGTCCGGTCAGCAGCATGCAGTAGTCGAATTTTCTTCGCCATATTCTTCGTCAATAGTCTGCGGCCATTTCTGTCGTCGGGCAGTAACTGAGTTGAAGTCTCCCCTTCGCGATTTCATCCTTGACGAAGAAGTACCGCAGGGCGATGTGCTTGGTTCGGTTGGCGAAGCCATCCTTGTTTGCGATTTTGATCGCAGATTGGTTGTCGCAGAGGAGTGAGAAGGCGGGAGGGTCGCATCTTCGCTTCCTCGAGTAACTCCGTAGGTAGAGTCCTTCCTTGGTCGCAGTACAAAGGCGATATACTCTGCTTCAGCCGAAGGATAGTGCGATTAACTCCTGCTTGCTCGACTGCCAGGAGATAGTTCCCGATGAGGTTCTAGTCGGTAGATGTAGCCCGTCCTGGATCGGTCGATTTTCCCTATCTCCCGCGTGGTCGGCGTCGACGTATCCGAGTAGTTCGTACGGACGGTGTTGTTAGCTTTGCTGTAGGTAAGTCCGATCGTCGGCGTGGAGACGAAGTAGAGTAGTGCCCGGTTGAGCTCCTCGAGATCTTCCTGTTCCGGTTGCTTCAGATGGTCGCCAGTTGACTTGCACTGTAGGACAGGTCGGGTCGGCAGGTTACTGCTGCGAATAGTAGGCAGCCGAGTTTCTGTTGATACTCCTGGATTTGCTTCGCGGGGAGTTTTGCGGAGGCGCTGTTGTTGTTTCCGTACGGTAGGGAGTTGGGATCGTAGTCGGTGTTAGTCCGAATTTCTTCGCGATAGTGCCTGCGTACTTTTCCAGCGTGTAGGTAGAACGCGAGTTGTCTTCGACGAATTCAGTCCCAGTACTGGTCACTGCGTCGGAACCGTTGATCGTCAAGTCTTCTTTCAGCTCCCCTTCGAACCAGGTGGCGATGTCGGTAGTGGAGCCGATGTAGAGCAGGTCGTCGACGTAGACGATGAGTAGGAATACTCTCTTCCCTTCTGCAGTCGGTACATGCCTTGGTCATGCGGCAGCTGTAGGAATCCGATTTTGCGAGGCGCCGTGAAGATGCTGCTGCCAGAGCCGCGGGGCTTGCTTTGATCCCGTAGAGGGATTTTATCAGCTGGCATACTTTCGTGGGGTCGTCGATGAATCCGTGGGGTTGTTCGACGAAGATCTCAGCGTCCACAGGTGCGTACAGGAAGCATTTGCGACGTCGATTTGCGCAGTGGTAGTTTCTTCGTGGCCGCGACGGCGAGTAGGATGCGCAATGAGGTGTGACGGGAGACTGGGGCAAGTTTCTGTGTAGTCGTTCCGTATCGTTGATCGAAGCCTCGTACGACCCATCGAGCTTTGAATCGTTCGATGGAGCCGTCCGCATTGGTCTTGATGCGGTACACCCATTTCCCGAGAGGACGTTCTTCCCGTTGATGCTTGTTGCAGGTACCAGTTTCCATGTTTTCGGTCTTGCAGAGCCTTTAACTCCTTTTCCATCGCCTCCTTCCATTTCGCCTTATGTTCCCCCCCAGAGCCTGCGACAGAGTCGAGGGCTCGCGCGGAAATGGCGGCGGCGGATGCTGGACGGAGACCCATAGGCCGAGATCTGCAGTCCCGTGGGTGTGTGTCGAGGGGAATTTTCATTCCCGGAATAGGCTGCTTCGTCACCGTCTTCTGGATCAGGTAAGAAGTTGGGGCCGATGCGTTCTGAAACATTTGTGTCGACCGGGTGGGTTGTAATGTAACCTTGGTCAGCGAAGTGGTAAAAGGTGTCGAGGTTGTTACTATCGAGAGGATTGTCTTCGTCGAGTGGAACAGGTACGGAACAGAAAGGGAGTGGTCCGGCAGCTTCCGAGGCTCCAGGTACTGTTTGTGTGATGTCATCATATGCTATCACATTTCTGTCGGCCTCCCATCCCATGTTTTTCAACTTGCATGTGTGATTTGAATGGCAAGCATTGTTGTGGTGGTGTGTTTCTGGAGTTTGGGAATGTGTTTTGTGTTATTCTGTCTGAGCAGGTATTTTGTGATAATAGATCTTGAGAAGATCTTTCCGACGCAACAAGAATCGCTTCAATCGGAGCAAGAACGCGAAAGCTATGAAGATTCAAAGTTCATGAGCTTGCGTTACAATTGCCGGCGGTTACTAAGTGAAGTTGTGGGGTGGACTTTATATGGAGTTGGGACCTTTGGGGTTGGGGAAACTTGTCACTCTACTGTAACAGCTGCAATTGGTTGGGAACAACCAAGCTAGGTTGGCAAGGGTGGCCAACTTGGATGGATTGGTTGGGAAGGGACAAATGTCAAAGTTGGGGTTCCTATAGGGAGGGAATCTTTGTGCTTATGGGGTTTTCCTTGGTTGGGGACTCTCTTGGGACCTTCCCTCTCATCCCTCTCTTCCTATCCCAACCTTTCTCTTGCTCCTTCTAATTCCTTGTGAGATTCTTGAACTTTGATTGAACCTTTGAGATTGAGTTAAGTTCTCCTCCTACAGCTTACCCCCTATGCGTCGAAAGCCATAGCGTCGGAATACTTCATCAATCAACGTGATTCAAATTGGGAACGGTAGCTGAGATTAAGAGCTACAACATATCCAAGTTTTCGCGACATTCCAACGGCTAGTTTTTTCGTCGACGTCGTTTCTTGTAAAGACGACTTTTCTGTCCAGAATTCGGATTTATATTTTGAGTAATTCTAGCTCCTAAGTTCACCTAGACTCCGTCCTTAATCCTAACAAGTGGTATCAGAGCAATATTAAGGACATTGAGAGGAGTCTACAGAAGTTTGAAGACCCTTCTAGACCACCATGGCCTGTGGGTGTGCCTAAGTGGTGTTCTAAAGGTTGGATGTGTCTTCCGCTAAGGGGAACTCTGCCGAAATTTCGTGGACGCCGACACTTTGTGAAAATATCGAGGGAGCTGAGTGTGGACAGCAAAGGGGAGCTGAAATTCGTCATTCTCAAGGAGAAGATGAATGAGAGAGGAGGAGATGCTAATGGAAGAGGAGCTGTACCTGAGAAGACAAGTGAGCCGCCGCCATCAAAAGTTGAAGCTTTGGATGGCTCCAACTATGAGGAATGGAGCGGACGGATGAGGGAGTGCCTTCAAACGCTACAAGCTACTGAAGATTGCTGTTGGGGAAGAGGAAGATGCCGGGAAGAAGGCGAAGCAACGTGAACGGTGGATTGAGAAAGCGCGGTGCTTTTCGACCTCATTCTTCAATCGGTCAACAAGGAGATGTTCGAGCACATCAAGGATCTTGTGGAAGCGGATGATTCGGGTCCAAGGGCGTGGAAACTACTACGTGATGTGGTTCAGCCCAACACTCTCCTGATGGTGATCGTGCTCGAGAAGGAACTTGCTGCCATCTCCATGCAACCAGGGGACGATGTGAAGCCGGTCCTTGACAAGATCAAGGACACCTATGCAAGGATGGCAGCAGCGGGGCAGCAGTGTATCTCAGCTGCAGCAGTGCACCAAGATCATCTCGGTGTTGGGACAACTCTTGGGACAACCTCATCCCCACCCTCAACTCTCAACAAGATCAATGGACACCTGAGTGGCTAAGGCAGCAGATTCTGCAGGAGGACTTCCGCAGACGCCATGTGGGAGGCGGTGCTGCCACTAAGACTGCTGAGGGGTATGGAGCTGCAGGGCGCAGCAGAGGAAGAGGGGGTTGGAGAGGCCGAGGCCGTGGGAGGAGCTTTGGCAGAGGTAGAGGCCGAGGTGACTATAATGAGGGGCATGGGAGCTCTAGTGGCAGGGGGAGTACCAGAATGGAGGGCACTGCTGGTACTGCAAGAAGATAGGGCATCCTTGGTTCAAGTGCTTCAGCAGGCCGGAGGATGGGCACCTCCAGGCATGAAAGCCACCCAGTGGTGAACGCGGCACAAGGTGGCGCTGTGCAAGGCTCAGGTGCACAAGGTGAAGGTGCACAAGGTAATGCCTATCCTGGTTTGTTTCTTATGGTGAGGATGTGCATGGGCATGAGGGTGATGTGGGATTTGTGGGAAAGGTTGTGATGCACCCTCTCACGCACTGGGTGATTGATTCGGGTTGCACCAGTCACATGACCCCACGGGCAGATTTGCTTGATGAGGTAAAACCCCCTGGGAAGATTAAGTATGTGGCAGCAGCGTCAGGTGCTTTGCTCCCCGTGATTGGTGTTGGGAATGCCAAGGTTAAGGGAGCTAATGGGGAGCTTGTGGGGCTTGGGAATGTTCTGCTGGTTAAAGGCTTGTCTGCTAACCTTCTCTCTGTGCGGCGGCTGCAGAAGAGTAAGGCCGAAGTGACCTTTGGACCAACCAGCTGCCGTGCTAAGCTTGGGAAGAAGGTGCTGTGGAGTCTGGAAGAGGAGACCAGCTGCATCAAGGACCTGTGGCAGCTGCCCATCATCCCTTGGAATGGGAAGACTCCAACAGCAGCAACGGGCAGCAGTGGCAAAGGCAACAGCAGGAGGAGATGCAACTGCACCAACTGATGGGGTGCTGGAAGCAGTCAAGAAAGTGCAGAAGCAGCAGACACATGGTGAGGTGCTTGCTGGTGTGGATGCGAGTGCGGCATGGGCTAAGGCTTCATCAAGGAGTGGAGAGGCCGATTGGGAGACATGGCATGAGAGGTTGTGTCATGTGAACTTCCCTATGCTGCAGAAGTTGGTGAAGAATGGGAGCCTGAAGGGCTTGGAGGTGAAAGGGGAAGTGAAGGAGATTGGGAGCTGCCCTACATGCTTGGAGACCAAGTTCTCCAAGTTCCCCTTCAACAGTGCAACTGGACCATCCAAGACCCCACTTGCACTTGTGCACATGGATGTGGTGGGGCCCACAAGAGCCCCTTCCCTCTCAGGCAGCCGCTATTTCTTGACAATTGTGGATGACCACACTTGGGCAGTGTGGGTTTACCCTTTGAAGAGCAAGGGGGAGGTGGCAGCGGCTGTCCTTAAGGAGTGGATGCCGAGAGCTCAGAGGGAATGCGGACACAAGGTGAAGGTGATCCGTAGTGACAATGGTGGGGAGTTCATTGGAGCTGATTTTGAGGGGGAGTTGAAGAGGAAGGGGATCCAGCATCAACTGACAGTGCCCTACAACCCACAGCAGAATGGCGTGGCTGAGAGGTTCAACAGGACCCTGCAGGAGGGGGCACGCACTCTCCTTGGGCGTGCAGGGCTGCCTGATCCGTTTTGGGTGTCTGCACTGAGGCAGGTCGCCCTTGTGAAGAACAGGGTGCTGGCTACAGTTGGAGATAAGGAGTGGATCCCATACGTCAAGTGGTATGGGAGTGCTCCAGCTGTGAACATGCTGAGGGCATTTGGGTGCATGGTGGTGTTTCATGTGCCTAAGGAGAAAAGGGGGAAGTTGGAGGCTTCTGGAAGATGGGGTGTGCACTTGGGGATTGGCAAAGGATCACAAGGGGTGGCTGCTATGGGACTTGACCACCCAGAAGTTGACAGTGTCAAGGGATGTGAAGTTTCTTGAGTCCCTGTACTACAAGGAATGGAAGCAGCAGCAACAGAAGCTTCCATCTACACCGCTCATTGTGGAGGCAGATGAGGTGCAGCAGCCTTCAAGACAGGTGGAGGTTGCAGTGTCAGAGGAGGAGATGTCTGGGGTGACTGAGGAAGGGGAGCAGCTGAAGTAGAGCAGCAGCAGCAGCAGCAGCATGAGTCTCCACCTCGAGTTCCACACCCGCCTGAGCGTCCTAGGAGGGATGTGCGCCCTCCAGTGAGGCTGACCTATGGGGGAAGAGGCAAGCCAAATGTGGTGCAGGCTGGGAGTGTGGTTGAGCAGATTGAGGAAGATGAGATCGCTCACTGCTACTGGGCACCAATCCCTGAGCCCAAGACTCGAGAGGAGGCTTTTGAATGGACCAAATGGGGAGAAGTGGAAGGCGAGTGAGGATGAGGAGTTCGGGTCCCTAATTGAGAACGAGACATGGGACCTGTGTGACTTGCCTCCTGGAAAGAAGGCAATCACTTCCAAGATGATCTACAGGCACAAGTATGGACCTGAAGGGGAGCTGACCCCGCTACAAGTCCAGGCTTGTGGCAAGGGGGTTTCAGCAGACAAAAGGGAAGGACTATGATGAGGTGTTTGCTCCTGTGGGGAAAGGAACAACACTGAGGGTGCTGTTAGCGATAGCTGCACTCCTGGGATGGAAGATACGGCAGATGGACATTGTGACTGCTTTTCTGAATGGGATCATTATGGAGGAGGTGTACATGAAGCAGCCAGAGGGGCTGGATGACGGAGCGGCAGGGTCTGCAGGCTGAAGAAGGCCATCTATGGCCTTAAGCAGGCGCCTCGTGCATGGTATCACAAGTTGGAGGAGGCGCTGTTGGCTGGGGGTTTCAAGAAGAGTGAGTGTGACCCCAGCCTGTTCCTGCTGCAGGAGAAGGATGAAATCCTCATGCTCTTGGTGTATGTGGATGATATCCTTCTCTTTTCTGCATCAACTGCTTTGCTGGACAGCGCAGAGCAGATGCTGGAGATGCAGTTCAAGTGCTCCAAGATGGGTGAGGTGAAGTACTACTTGGGGATGCACGTGGAGAGAGATGTGGAAAAGGGTGTGCTGAGGTTGCACCAGAGGAAGTACTGTGAGGGGCTGGCTGAGAAGTATGGGCTGCAAGATGGGGGAAAGCCAGCAACACCACTACCTTCGGGGTTCACTGTGGAGCCATGTGCTGATGAGGAGGTAGTGGGTGATAGTGACAGGAAGCTGTTTCATTCGATGGTTGGGTCGCTGAATTATGCTGCAAATCATACACGGCCTGACATTGCATTTGCTACATCACGGTTGGCTAGTGTTGGTCTCACGCCCTAGTCATGAGCAGCTGGAAGCGGCCAAGAGGTTGGTCCGCTATGTGAGTGCTAACGGCATCAGTGGGGATTGGAGTACAGTGGAGTGAGGCAGCGGTTGCAGAGAGGTGCTGCAGATGTGAAGAGTGGAGAGATGCTCTTGAGTTGCTATACTGACGCTAGCTTCAACTCAGTGGAAAGCGGATGGCACCAGCATTGGGGGTTATGTGTGCTTGCTAGGAGGTGGTGCTGTGAGCTGGCGCAGCAAGAAGCAAAATGAGGTGGGATTGTCTTCATGTGAGACTGAGTACATGGCCTTACACCATGGGGCCAAGGAAGTGGTATGGCTGAGGCGTTTGTTGGAGGAGTTGGGAGTTGTCAGGAGAAGCCGACAGTTGTGTTTTGTGACAATGAGTCCGCTGTGAAGCTCGCCAAGAATGCTTGTCTGCATGGGCTGACAAAACACATAAGGCCTAAGTGGCATTGGGTGAGGAGACTCCTTGATAAGGAGGTGCGCTGGAGATAGTGAAGACCCATCAGCAGGCAGCAGATATTTTCACTAAGCGTCTGGCGGAGGCGGATCATTGGAAGGGCATGAAGCTTGCTGGGATGAGTGTGCATTGAGTATGCATGCTTGAGATGTGGTATGGTCGATGATGGTTGGCAGCCAGAGGGGGAGATTGTTGTGTGATGTCATCATATGCTATCACATTCTGTCTGCCTCCCATCCCATGTTTTTTCAACTTGCATGTGTGGTTTGAATGTGGCAAGCATTTGTGTGTGGTGTGTTCTGGAGTTTGGGAATGTGTTTTGTGTTATTCTGTCTGAGCAGGTATTTGTGATAATAGATCTTGAGAAGATCTTTCCGACGCAACAAGAATCGCTTCAATCGGAGCAAGAACGCGAAAGCTATGAAGATTCAAAGTTCATGAGCTTGCGTTACAATTGCGGCGGTTACTAAGTGAAGTTGTGGGGTGACTTTATATGGAGTTGGGACCTTTGGGGTTGGGGAAACTTGTCACTCTACTGTAACAGCTGCAAATTGGTTGGGAACAACCAAGCTAGGTTGGCAAGGGTGGCCAACTTGGATGGATTGGTTGGGAAGGACAAATGTCAAAGTTGGGGTTCCTATAGGGAGGGAATCTTTGTGCTTATGGGGTTTTCCTTGGTTGGGGACTCTCTTGGGACCTTCCCTCTCATCCCTCTCTTCCTATCCCAACCTTTCTCTTGCTCCTTCTAATTCCTTGTGAGATTCTTGAACTTTGATTGAACCTTTGAGATTGAGTTAAGTTCTCCTCCTACAGCTTACCCCCTAATGCGTCGAAAGCCATAGCGTCGCGAATACTTCATCAATCAACGTGATTCAAATTGGGAACGGTAGCTGAGATTAAGAGCTACAACATATCCAAGTTTCGCGACATTCCAACGGCTAGTTTTTCGTCGACGTCGTTTCTTGTAAAGACGACTTTTCTGTCCAGAATTTCGGATTTATATTTTGAGTAATTCTAGCTCCTAAGTTCACCTAGACTCCGTCCTTACCTAACAGGTTGCGCGTCTTGAGGTGTATTGGCACGTCTTGTATGTCGAGGATTTTCCATGCGTGAAAATGTTTTGCGATGCCGAGGTGTAGTCCCCACCGAGCTCGTTGAGTGAAGCGTCCTGCTCGGGCTGTGTGGGTCGTACTGTACCATGCAACCGAAAACTCGAAGTAATTTTGTGCTGCCCCTTTTTCGTGTCCACAGCAGGTGCGGCGATGCGTTGTTGGGAAGTGATGACGAGGACAACAGGTTGTGCAGGTGGACTGCATGTGTCATCGCGTCTGGCCACAGTGTGGTGGGCAGTCTCATCCCCAGGAGCAGTTCCGCATCGTCGTCTGCAAGGTCCGGTTCATGCGTTCTGCGACCCCTTGCTGTGGTGAGCGTAGGGCAGGACACCAGGCGTCTGATTCCTCTTTCCGCCAGATAGGTCCTGAAGCGTTGTGACTGGTATTCTAGTGCACCGTCTGACTGGAAGCTCTTGAGCTTGATTCCTGATTCCCGTTCGGCGATGGGAGCCATGTCGTGAAGGCGTCGAGGTTGATGGTTTATTGCCAGAGTATTTGTTGCTGCGTCGATAAACGTGATGACATAGTTAAAGTCGGCTTCAGTGTCTTCCGAGGCATGTTAAAATGTCGCTGTAGACTTTTTCCATCGGTGCGTATGCAGGTGCGCTTGGGTTGTGATGAGATGGAAAGACTGGTGGGAGGATCGCTCGGGGCACGTAAGCAACGTGCGCGTGGTCGTCGAAGTTCTGGCCGCTATTGTTAGGAGGCGTTACGTTCTAACACTTCGGCTTGGATGGTTTGTAGTATTGTACTGTTTGCAGGGTGCCCGAGTCGTTGGTGCCAGATGTCGTCGGGAGCGCGATGGCCGGGCGAGCGGTGGTATATGTCGGTGTTGGAGAAGAACGCGACGACTGTGGCGGGACTTCGACAGACTTCTCGTGTGATGGGCATAAGTTGATCTGCTTTGGTTGGTGGTCCTCGGATCGCTGGTGGTGGTACTCGGCTGGGTCTTGCTGCTGCTACTGCAGGTGATGGTTGGGAAGGGACACTTGCTGGTACTTGTCTTTCTTGTCGGATGACTGCTAATGCTCGTGTTCTCTCTGCTGCAGGTATGGTGTTGGAGTACCAGAATCCATCGGGGTTGAAGTCAGGGTCAAGATCCGGCGGGTGTGTCCAGGCGGTGAACGACACGATTCCGTCGCTGTCGGCAGTACCGCGGTCGGGGACGAAGTCCAACACGAAGACGCCGGACTTCAGGAGAGCACGACCGATGAAGAGACCGCCCTTCCCGTGGTAAAGGCGAAACTCATTGGAGTAGGAGTCGCACTCCAGGTGAATCCCTTTTGCCATTAGCTGGCTTACGCTTAGTAGGTTGTATCCCAAGTTGTCGACGATGAGGACCTTGTTGAGTTGAAGTATAACGTTTGTCTCCATGGATTGTAACTGAACCACGCCTTGTCTGTTTGTTTTCAGGTTTTCGTTGTTGGCGACGGTGATGATTACATCGCGGTTGAGGCGTCGCTCTCGTTGCACGAAGCGTCCGGAAGAACACATGTGTTGACCGCAGCAGCTGTCCAAGAACCAGGTATTTCGCCCGGTGGGTTCGGCGTTGGCGACCGCAGCGTATGTCGGGTTGACCTGAAGTCCTTGTGAGCGCGGCGGCGGAAGTTCTTCTTCGTCTGGTGCGTAAGTGGGTGGTGATCCGGGTGCGCAGTTGTCGATGTGTACCATGCAGTTAATGATGTTTGGTGTCCCTTGTGCAGATGTGGAAGAGCGCCTTGGAGGGCTTTCTTGAGTGGAGGCGACGTGTGGATCTACTGGACGATAAACACGAGGACGTGTGCAGTTGATTTTGGAATGTCAAGAAGTCTGACAGTTGTGGCAGAACGGCGGCACGAAGGTGAGTCCTCTGTTGTCGCGTTGATCTTGCTTGCCGCGTCGATTGTAGTTGTTGTCGTTCCTTCGTTGAGTGTAGAAAACTAACTGCTGCTGCTTCCTTGGTTGTCTTTCTTCAAACAGGTCCATCTCCTGTTGTTCAGCGTGAAGCTCGGCGCAGAGGTGCATCTCCGAGATCCTTCCGTGGGCGCGAAGAAGCGAGCGTGTGGTTCTCCATTCTGGCCCGAGCCCGGCGAGGACAAGCGTCACGAAGCTTTCTTCAGTGATTGTTCCTCCGCACCGAAGCAGGCGGTCGCGGAGGGTCTGGCAGCGACTCATATACTGCATCGCCTTTTCCCCTGTCTTCATCTGTATTGTTGTCAGTTGTTGCATGAGTCTGCTTTGTGTCACGCTGTCGTTTGTTTGATAGAGACACTTGAGATGATGCCATGCTAGTTCCGCGGAGTTTCCATAGCTCCGATATGTTCTGATGCTCTGCTGTTCTTGTGGTGACAGGTTCCGCAGGAGAACTGTGTACGCCAGCAGCGACTGATAAGTAAATATTTCTTGCTCCTTTGCAGTGCCGTTGCTTGGGAATGGCAGGGACCCGTTGAAGTATCCCAAGAGATGCGCAGCCTCCATCAGCAGCTCGAACTCAAAACTCCAGGTAAAGAAGTCGTGTCCGTTGAACGGTGAGGATGTCTGTAACTTGATTATGTGTGAAAACTGCGCCTGGAGACTCAAGATCTCGTTTGGTGTCTGTTGTGATGCAGCTGCTGTTTGGTTGGGCACGGGGCGGCATGAACTCAAATGTCCCCGGTGAAGAGTGATTAGGCGCAAAGGTAGGCGCTTGATTGTGTCGCCCGAACGATGAATTGTCGAGGCTCATCGGCGCTAATCCCATGTTTCCTCCGTTGCTCTGTGTTGAATGCGCAGGTGTCCTTGTCTGCTGCTGCTGGTCGAAGTGCGACATGAAGCTGAAGAACCTTTCCATAAGGTTCGGATCCACGCTTGAAGAGGGTGATGGGTCACCATTTCCGGTGTTCTTCCTGTTGTTTCTTGAGCAGCGCCGGTCTCGGTTTGCAGTCCTGAAGTATGCAATCCAGAGTTGCCGTGTTGAGTTCTTGGGCACTGGGTGAGCCCGTAGAGGTCTTCTTGCCCTTGTTATCCATGACTTGTAATCAATGAAGTCGTTGAATTGCAGATTGTAGATAGAGAGTAGTTGCTGGGAGTTTGGTCTCTGACCAGCTCTCATACCATGTTGGGCTGAGAAAGCCCTCAGGATCTTTCCAGAGACTAAGTCCCAGTTGTAAAAGACTTGAGTAATGCAGCGGAAGTTTGAGTAGTTGAACCCTTGTACTAGTATATGAGAACAAGTGATTGATTAAAGAAACAAGCATACAGCAATATATAGAAATAGGAAAGTAAAGCAGTTGTAGAATACAGTTGCAGGAGCGGTTATCGAGTCGCACAGCGACTCGATTGTCGCTTCGGTTACCTCCGTGAGTTGTAACGGTCAGTCGCAACCTCCAGTTGCGACCCTTCGAGTCCCTTCGCGTTCTTTGTCCGCCCCTCGTGTAACCTCCGTTGACTCGCGTACCCGTTACGATCTTCCTCAAGTGTAGTGTTACACTTCAGAAACGCTTAAGTCCTTTGAGATATTTCCAACACTCCCCTTCGTTTCTGGAGTGCTGACGTGTTCAGATCCGGTGACGTTTGTCTGTCCGGTCAGCAGCATGCAGTAATCGAACTTCGCCTTCGCCAATTTCTTCGTCAGATAGTCTGCGGCCATTTCTGTCGTCGGGCAGTAACTGAGTTGAAGTCTCCCCTTCGCGATTTCATCCTTGACGAAGAAGTACCGCAGGGCGATGTGCTTGGTTCGGTTGGCGAAGCCATCCTTGTTTGCGATTTTGATCGCAGATTGGTTGTCGTAGAGGAGTGAGAAGGCGGGAGGGTCGCAATCTTCGCTTCCTCGAGTAACTCTCGTAGGTAGAGTCCTTCCTTGGTCGCAGTGCAAAGGCGATATACTCTGCTTCAGCCGAAGATAGTGCGATTAGTTCCTGCTTGCTCGACTGCCAGGAGATAGTCCGATAGGTTCTAGTCGGTAGATGTAGCCCGTCCTGGATCGTCGATTTTCCCTTATCTCCCGCGTGGTCGGCGTCGACGTATCCGAGTAGTCGTACGGACGGTGTGTTACCTTGCTGTAGGTAAGTCCGGTCGTTGGCGTGGAGACGAAGTAGAGTAGTGCCCGGTTGAGCTCCTCGAGATCTTCTTGTTCCGGGCTTCAGATGCGTCGCCAGTTGGCTCGCGCTGTAGGAGAGATCGGTGTCGGCAGGTTACTGCTGCGAATAGTAGGCAGCCGAGTTTGTTGATACTCCTGGATTTGCTTCGCGGGGAGTTTTGCGGAGGTGTTTTGTTGTTCCCGTATCGGTGGGAGTTGGGATCGTAGTCGGTGTTAGAAC